AAACAAAGAAACAAATAAAACTGAATATTCTGTTTTTTAAAACAATTACGAAAATATTTTACAAATTTCATTTTTATTAAGATTGAGGGTTAAAATTGGGTTATGAAAATATCAAAGGTTATTAGGACAAAATGATATGTGTATAAGGGTTATTGGGACATTCACAATTTCAAACTGAGTTAATTTAGCAAATTTCCTTAATTTAATTCCCAAAACAATGAATATCGATTGTGATAGTGTTATTGTATTCAAATAGATTATTTGGTGTGGTCAATTGATGCACAAAATTTTGACTTTTTGTTTAAAAAGAACTTCATTTTTATTAGTAGAAACATATCTTTCAATTAACCACATAAAAAAAAAACTTATTGATCTTTTTAAGTGTCTACATGTTATAGACTAGTTAACCATTATTACTGAAAATTTGAAACCAACTTCTTATTTATAAAACTCAAGTAATATATATTTTAAGTTTTCTTTTCTGTAAATATAAAATATTTGACGTTGTACATAAAATACATGAGTCACTCATTTGCCAATTGATTAAAATATTTCATAACTTTTTAAACTACAGTTTAAACGATTCTAAGATGCTAAAAAATAATATTTGCATGCTTTCAATTTAAAAGAAGGGTCATTTGCAATAATAACAAAAAAAAACTATAATTAGTAATTTAGAAAAATCTTAGAGAGAGATAAGAAAAGATAATGAAAGAAAAACGGAGATTTTAGTTAGTTTGTATATTATAGTTTTTTGTTGTATTTTTAACAAATAATCCCTTAAAAGAACATGAGATAAAGGTTACATTTTTTTGTTTTTTTTAGTCTAAAGATAAAGGTTACATCAAAAAAGTATAAGGTAAAAATACATGTACAAATCACTATATTTGTTGTAATTACTTTTCTGTAATGCTTTTCACAAATAATAAAATAATTTTTACTTACAACATCCTCGAATGGAAATAACGGATTGGGTGATGCGGGACAAGCGGATTAAGAGCAGTTCAATTGCGGTGCGGATGGAGAAAACGCATCATGCGGATAGTGTAGAATAAACGGTGCGGGACATTGTTTGAATGGTAACAATCACAAATACATTGCGGATATAATAATTATTTAATATTGATTATTTATTTTTTAATATTTCAAGTTTTCAAAACTATTATTTAGAAAAAGTAAAAAGTTTAAGTTGATGAATTGTATTTGTTTATATATTTGTTTTAAAACAATCAGTTTACAAAAAATAGGAACGCACCTATCTACATCAAAAATGTGACTTATTAACTGCACCTAGTGGGAGCATGATTTACATGCAAAAAGAGAATGCACTTATTTTTCTAACTATTAATTAATTTATTTTTATTAAAAATACAAATGACAAAAATATGTTGAATGGTGACATAATTTTCTCTCGCACCTTAACTCGCTTTACCCGCACTAAAAATTAACATCCCTAGTATGGCTTTGTGGTGAGATGCGGCTATCTCCAAGACTTATCTTCGGTGTTTGCGCGGCTCTATTTGGTGTCCTGCTTTCTCGGGTGTGGTGTGAGCTATACTAGATGTTGTTTTTTACGTTTTGTAAAACTAAAAGTTAGTCAACAACTACAAAACGATTGAATTACTAATTTGTGGATATCAAAGAACAATTAATGGTATTGAAATTGTGCTACGCTTCGATTTGCTCGTTTAAAGTTTCGTTGGAACAAAAAGTGTTCTAAAAAAGGTAAAACCGTGTCACGGTGCAAGTGAATGCAAATATCTTCAATTTGATGCCCACATGTTATCTGACCTAATTAATTATACCAGCCGTTATAACAGAGTAACATTTCTATTGTTAGAATCCTCTATATATAAAATAAAAACATAATAAAATAAATTTAGAGATTACTAGCAAAACTACCATAATCCAAAATGCATTTCCAAAAGTACGACAAGCCTATGTAAAATTACCACTTT